CTCTGTAAATCTTCACCCAAATCCTAATAAAAAAAAAAAAAAAAAGAATTCTGGTAGTGTAGTGCCTAAGGCATTAGACTGCTAACCAGAAGGTTGGTGATTCAAACCCACCAGCCACTCCACAGAAGCAAGACTGGGCAATCTCCTTCCATAAGATCTACCGCCTTGGAAACCCAAAGGGGGTCACTATGAATGAGAATCAACTCAATGGCAGTGAGTTTGGTTTTTTTGGTTTATAATAATATTAAAAGGAGCCCTGGTGAGGCAATGGTTAAGTACTGGGCTGCTAACTAAAAGGTTGGTGGTTCAAATTCACCAGCAACTTCATGGAAGCCAAGACCTGGCTATCTGTTCCTGTAAATAGTATAGCCTAGGAAACCCTATAGGGTAATTCTGCTCTGTCCTACAGGGTCACTATGAGTCAGAATCAACTCAAGGGCACATGACAACAACATAGACACTAAAATGTGTTGTCTACTAAGCACAACCACCTATGCAATAGATGCCATCACCCTAATTTTATGATAAGAAGTCTGAAGCACAGAGAAATTATGGGCCGTCGCCAAGATGGCACACACAGTAGGTAACAGAGCCAGGATCTGGACCTGAATGGTCTGACCCAAGAGCCCTTCACACTGTAATGACTGCACAGGCACTGTGCTATTCTGTTCTTGCCCCTATGAGTCAGGGGTGCAAGAAGCAGCTTCCTTCTGCACTTCTTTCCCCATTATTTCAAGCATCCACAAACCTCCTGCAGACATGACCCTTCATATCTGTCCTTCCCACTGTTCTTCCTTCTCTTAATCTCAAGAGTGCTGTAAGATGCCTTCCCTCCACACGCCTTGGCTTTCTCCCCTCCTTTGTACTCACATGTATCCTTGCCCCATTGCTGACAAACTGGTCCCTCTGACCCACCTCCTTGTTTTAAACATTCATCTTCTAGCCTGTTCTGGACCAGTGCAAATGTAGGCTGTCTTTCTAAGCCTACAGTCACCTCCTTGGACCCTGCCTGCACAGTGAGCAGAGGCCTCCTGGTGCCCAGCCTCTGTCGGAGCCAGACCATCTCCCTGAGAGCAGAGCCCTCCCTCACCATCTCTCCCAGGCATTGTTCCCACAAGGCCACGCTGCCCTCACCCATATCTCAGCCAAGTCTGCCATTTGCCCTTGTGCCGTCTGGCAGGAACAGTGTTTGTGTGCAGTGCCTGGTGCTCAGATATTAATAACCACCATAACGCATGATGACAAGCAAAAGGAAATCCAGCCCTGTGCCTTTGCAGTGTCTCTATTCAGGTTATTTTTAAACGGCTTTTTGCCATGCTTATGGATTGAATGGCATTGTGCTTACAGCCAAGTGTCTGGGTCCTGACCAACCCAAAGGAAAAGACAATAATAACAATATATTAATTGAAACTGTTTATAAAACATATACTTAGTGTTTCCCTTGGCCCAGATGTTCACACTGGTAGCCCTGACTCTAAGTTTCAAGGCAAAACTGCATCTTTCCCCGAGGCAAAGCTCAAGAGGTCCTGCAGAGGCCCTGCTGCTCCCGGAACCAGTCAGGCTGAAGATCTGTGTGCAAAGCAAACTCTGAAAGTGGGAGAGACCAGGAGAGCCAAACCCCAGGCTGGCCTGGCCCCATGGCCAGGGCACCCCCTTGCATGCCTTATGCCAGGAGTCTGACCCTTACTCCCTGGCACCCACTTGAGTTGTGGCCCAGACAACTGTCTTGTGAGGACATTTGGTCAGTGTCCTGGCATAATTTTCTGGCCACTTCAACACACTTCTGCCCTCTCCAACATCTTGTGTGACCTGACAGGACAGATTCTCACCCAAGGCCCTTATCACCAACGATGTCCCTCATAAAAAGCATACCCCATCAACCCAGCTTTCCATGTCCCAGCCCAGCTGTAGGAAAAGGTTGATCCTCAGGGAGCTGATTTTCCCCTTATGAGGGAACCATGACCTCTACCTGCTCTCCACTTTGCTCAACAGAGCCTCAGCCTGGAGCTTACAAACAATGGTGACAAATGACCAGGAGGTCTTCTCTGTTGGCTCAGGCATCACAGGGATGGTCATGATTGTTCACTTGGCCAGTTACTGTTTCTTGAACTAAACTTTCTTGAAGGAGCTCAGGGTCCTAGGGCCATCATGGTAATGATAACTGTCATTTCTCTCTCCCTCTTTTTTAGATAACATCGTATTCAGATATAATTCATATACCATAAAATACACCCATAAGAAACCAAAACCAAACTCACAGAGACCCCCTTTGGGTTTCTGAGGCAGTAAATCTTTATAGAAGTAGATTGCCCAGTCTTCCTTCCAAGGAGTGGCTGGTGGGTTTGAACCACCAATCTTAGCAGTCAAATGCCTTAGGCACTATGCCACCAGAACTCCTTAAAATTCACCCATATAAAGAGCACAGTTCAGTGTTTTTTAGTCTACTCACAGAGCTGTGCAACCATCATTTCTAACTAATTTTAGAACATTTTCATCACCCCAAAAAGAAACCTGTACACAGCAATCATTCCCCAATTCTGCTTCCTCCCCACAGTCCTTGCCAACCACTAATCTACTTTCTGTCTCTATGGATTTACCTATTCTGGGTCATTTCATATAAATGGAATCATACACGTGGTCTTTCATAACTGCCTTCTTTCACTTAGCAAAATGTTTTTAAGGTTCATCCATGTTGTATCGTGTATCAATCCTTAATTCTTTTGTCGCCAAATAATATCCCATTGTATGGCTATACTACATTTTGTTTACCCGTTCATCAGTTGATGGATATTTCGGTTTTTTCTATTTTTTGGCTATTTTGAGCAATGCTACTATGAACACTCATGTACGAGTTTTTGTCTGGACATGTTTTCATTTCTCTCAGATATATACCTAGCATTGGAATTTCTGGATCATATGGTGTTCTGGTTACCTAGTGTCGCTCTGATAAGAATATACCACACATGGGATGGCCTTAACAAACAGGAGTTTATTCTTACAATTGGGAGGCTTTAAGTCCAAGTTCAAAGTGCCAGCCTCTAGGGGCTGCATGAAAGCCCCTCAACCTTGGGGTCCAGCTCAGCCTCCTGCTCCCGGCCCACTGGAGCTAGAAATATTTCTTCACTCAGACAGCTGCTGGCTGCTGAGGCTGAGAAGCCCCAAGGTTGACAAGTAAAAAGGCACAGTCTCGATGTTACCAAACCATGCGGCAGGCCATTAATTTAAGTCCATTTTAAGTCCCAAGGTTGGCAGAGCATAGCAAGCTGCTGACCAATGACACAGCTACATGCAGGGTCCAAGCGTGCCATAGGCTAGAGACCTGTCCCAAAGCTGCTGCTTATATATGGGAAGCAGACCACATAGCCAAAGCAGCTACTCAGCTGCTTGTAGTAGATTCCACCATGGAGCTGATTGCCAGTCTCATCATGGGGAATAACTACCACCAGCTGCCCAGCCACTCAACCAGGCCCAGCCGAGTTGACATACAAACATAACCACCACATATGGTAACTCTGTATTTAACACTTTAAGGAACTGTCAAACAGTGTTCCAAAATGGCTACACCATTTTTACAATCCAACCAGCAATGTATGAAGAGTTGCCATTGTCTTTTGATGTTCACAACAACCTTCTAAGGTAGGTAGTATGATAATCTACAACTTAGAGATAAGGGTACTCAGGCTTCACAGAAGGTAAGTAACTTGCCTGTAGTCACACAGCTGGCAAGTGGCAAGGCTTGTCCTCACCACACTTCCCTCTGTGAAGTTTTTAACCCTTTAACCCAGCAACAACTGAACAACTGTTTCTCATCTTTGCCCCTCTACTTCTGCATCACCCTGAGGAGAAGTCTTTCTGTGTTGTAGGACGTATCAGGAAATGCTGCATTTCTGGCCTTCACTCCTTTCGGGTTTGTTGTTCTACAAGGAAATAAGAGGGTCCACTTCATTAAATGGTGAGTCTTAATCTCCAAAAAAGGCTCTTTATACCTCAGCCACTGGGGAGGGGCCATGGTTCCATGTCCTCTGTCTGTGATTGGGCAGTTTTATGGGTCTGAGCCTTCTCCAAAGCCTTGCACTGATAATGGTAACTGGTGAAGGTAGTGGTTTTTCTCTATGGATCCTATTCTTCCAAAGGGGTATTCCTGAGAGCCAACAGCTTCTCCAGAGAGAGAAAGGGCATATTTCCCTTGGACCCAGATGTTCATTCTCATAGCCCTGCAGGGGAAGACGAAAGATCTGGGGCTGGATCCAATGCTAGGGAAGCAGGGTTCCCATAAGAACTAAGCCTTTGGGACTGTCACCCACTGAGGGCCATAGCCAACCCTATTGAGCTGGCTGTTCTGGGGTATCTCTGTGTCTTACCCATGCTCCTAACCAGGGAGGGGCTCACAGTGACCTTTGGTGCAGATATAAGTTCCCCTGTTGGTCCTCCTCAGACCAACTCCCATTGTGGACATTTCCTGTGTAGGAGGTCAGATACTGCTCTGTCTCCTCCTATCCCACTTTAGGGCTTAAGTGTCTTCAGTCTCTAGGAGTCACATCCTCACCCTTTCTTCTTTCTCCCTGCCCTTCCCTCTCCTGCTCTCACATCTAGCAGTCAATAACCACTGCCTGGCTACAGCTACTCTGAACTGCTTCCTGTTTGGCCTCTGTCTCTGTGTGGGTCTATTTTGCCGTGTGGCACCTAGAAGCTGATGCAGCACAGACTCTTAATTTGTTGATTGACGTTTGGCTATCTTGGAGACTTTGCTGGCCCATCCAAACATCCTTCAACCTCATCAGAAGTTTGCAAACTCTATTAAGCCCCAGTGCTTTCTTGGGCCTCGGGCTGCCAAGTCTAAGTTGTCCAGCTACAGCCCTGAGCCCAGCAGAGCCTTGGCTGGAAGCCTGCTCCCTGTCTTGATTCCTTTGCTTTCTCTGGAAGAGCTAATGGGGTATCTGAGCATAGAGTTGCTTCCTGGTGAGCTCTCTGCTGGTGGTGCTACAAGGCATCTGTCCTCCTCTGCTGAGCCTGTGGGTAGACACAACCTTTCCAACCCTTAATGCTCTGGTAACAATGGCAATATAATAATCAACCAGAGTGTTAGTGAAACTGTTCCTCAGACATGCACAGCCAAGTCCTATTCCCCAGGAAAGCAAGCAGCCTGGTGCACTGGAGTTACCAGTATACACCCAACACACATTTCCTAGGCTTTCTCAAGTTGACCCACTTCACTGGTCTCTCTGGATGAAGATGGTGAGGGGTTGAGGTCTCCTGCCCAACAAAATACTTTTCATAAAAAGACAATAAGCAGGATCAGGTCACAGTACTCCTGATGCACCTGCTGCCTGGATACATCTGAGTTATGTAATGTGCCACAGAGGGCCAGATCCTGGGCCACACTCTTATTAGAGGTCCCAGGTAGGGAGTATGTTTAGATGGAAACAAGCAGAACACACCTGTTACAAGAATCTGAAGTCCCTAAATGATCCCTACCCATCCAGAAGGCACGATACTCACCTGGTCCTCCCAAACCCTAGTCATTCTACGTCTTTTCTCAAGTTCCACTTCTTTAGGAAGTTGCTTCACTGTGTTTCAACTTTCTAATAATAGATGTGAACCCAATATTACTTTCAAGGCATACTAAACCCCCTTACTTTCCTATCTTGCTTGTTGGAACCTACATGATCTGTGTGCTTATCTCTATATATTAATCAGTTGATATTTATTTGTAGCCTGTGTGTGTATGAGAGATTGATTGAGAGGGAATCAGACAGGGAAGGAATACTGTGAGGCTTGTATAAGCTCAGAATTGGTTGTCAGAAGTTGTGAGCTTTCATCATGACCCAGCTATGATTTCCAGAAACACGGAAAGCAAGTGACCTTTCTCTGTCCCCTTTTTGTCCATGAGTAAATTGGGTACATGGTTCTCACTACCTTTCTACTATTTCCTAGGATGTTAAGCAAATCTCTCTAGAAATTATAAAGAGGAGGAAGCCAAATGGAGGCAGTTGTACATTATCAGACCTCCTTTAGGGCCCCAGTTAGGTAGAAAACAAGGACTCCAACCATAGTGAAGTAGAGAAGGTCGTGAGGATCTAGAGGGCAGCTGTGTTGAGCAGAAGGAGGGGAGTGAGGTATGAGGCCTAGCTGTCTGGCTCTCAGGGACATCCACCTAAACCCCAGTAATTTTTCCATTTTGTAAGTGTAACCAAAGCTGAGAGCAGTAAGTGGAGGTGAGGTCTAAGCCATGCCATGTACAGTAACCATGTCACTTCTGATTTGTGTCTGTCCTACGGGTGACATACCCCAGTATCCTGTTTGCCTCTTTTACTGCAGCCATTCACTGTGCTGGTGGCTTCAAGGATTTTTCTACAAAACCCCCTAAGCCCCTTTCCTGGTCAGTACACTGCATGACTGTTCCATGTAATCTGTTTTCTCTCTTTGGTATGTTGCCCCACCCCCTTCCCTGAGACTGTTTGACATTTGTCTGCATTAAATTGCATTTTCCATCCAGTGGCATAGTCACCTGAAAGACAACTCCCTCAGAACCTGGTTGCATTGTTTTCCATTATTTGCTATATCATGAACTTTGGCCTCATCAGCTACCTGTGGCATCTTACGTTTGACAGTACCATCCAGATAATGCACTTGTGTTATGAACCAAACCCTGAAATGACCTTGGACTCTACTTAGACTCACTTCCCATGCAGATGTTTCCCTTTTGCAGCCATTGGTGATGGGCCCGAAATCCTTCTATCACCCTGTTGTTATACTGTGATTGACCAGAAAACTGTGGATTGAATTGTTCCAACAACTGTTCTCTAAGGGTACTGCCCTGCTGTCTTGTTTCAGTTATGATTTTGCCTAAGATTGTGTCTGTGCCTGGAGCCCCCTCCAGTCTGGGTGGGCTATGCTTCTACAACACTTAGCTGTGGACAAGCAGCCCACAACAAGGTGATAGGCACTCTCTTTGTGCTTCTAGGAATGAAGTGACCAAGCTGAAATTTGAAGGAAAGACTTTCTATTTACACGTAAGTCAAAAAGAGGTGAGTAATGGCTTCCTTTTTCTCAGGGGGTGGGGCAGGGGCACTAGGATAGTCATGATGGCTGGGACTGAGCTTGGGTGGTTCGCATAGAACTAAGATCTGTATGCTAAGCTGAGATCAAGATCAAGACCTATAGTTGAGGTATGGAGGGGTGGCTGGGCCCTGGAGTACAAGCCTTCCTCAGTGATGCTGGTGACACCCAAAGGTTCAATCTGAGAGATCCCTACCTCTACAAAATGTAGTCAAAATAAGAGTCTTTGATTTCCATGTGAAAATTCCAGATGAGAGTGCCACTTTCCAGCCAAGGGTGCTCACTCTTAGTTCAATTTGTACCAACTAAGACTTACTATGATTGGACTCACCAAATGTGAATTTATATATGAAACTGAGGTCTGCCCAACTGGGTCCTTCAGGCCTCCTGTTACAACTCGCCAGCTGCTGGTCAGCTCCTTCTCCATCTGAAGCCTCTCACTAAGAGTCTGTTGGGGAGGCCCCCACAATTCAGGGGTCAGTGTCCTGGCCTACTTCACTCATCACCCACACTCAGCTGTTTCTATATGAAATTTTTTGTAGGAAAAGAAAATCATTCTCACATATTTTGCTCCAACTCCAGAAGCCTGCAAACATCTCTGGAAATGTGGAATTGAGAATCAAGCCTTCTACAAGTAAGTAAATTCATGTGACAGGGACTGTCTTTATCAGAACAAAAGTTACTAAGGCTACTTTTAGAGGAATGATGGACCAGAAACTGGATATCCTGAGAACAGAGACATGAGATGACAAATCTGGGCTTCTTTGTAAAACTCAGACCCCTTTCTGTGTCTATCTGTATCCCTGGAGGTACAGAGCCAAGGTCTGGGAATAGGTTTCAGTTGAGTAGTCCTTGGACAGCCTCCAGTGGGTCTTTTAAGGGTAAGGTTTGAGTCAGAAGCAACCCATGAGTGCCTAACAACATCAAACTGCCCCTAAGGAGCCATTCAGAGCCCTGGGCAGTCTGGAATACACTAGCTCCATAGAGGATCAGGTACAACCCAGAGTAGACTCCCTAGTGCCAGGCCCCAGCCCTGGAGAAGTTTGGAGATAAGTTAGGGTCTGCTTCCCAGTGGGTCCCCTGGTGCTGAGCTGAGGTTGATGTCAGCCCATCCCAGTGCATCACTGCTGACAGAATTGCCAGTGACAGGCCAAGTGCCCAGGAGCCTGGGGAGATAGCAAGAATTTGACTGTTATGAAGAAGCTAGATTTAGGCCAAAGGTAAGAACTATGCAAACCAAAAGATTTTGTAAAGTATGTGAGTCTCTTGCTATGAGTCAGAATCAACTCAATGGCCATGGGTTTTTTTTTTTTGTTTTTTTTTTTGGTTTTTATGTGGGACTTTTGTGTTCAGTTTTCTTTGATTAAGGAAGTGGTTATAAAAAACATTATGGAACAAAGAAATGGCCCCTTGAGAAACTAGGGTGTTGCCAGGCAAAGTATGTTTTCCTAAACCTCTTGGTCTTATTTAAAATATAACGTAATAGTTTATTCTTTGACAAATTGTGTTTTAATCAGAAAACAAAACAAAGTGTATGGTATATTAACTGGGGTGAGCCCTGATGTCACCAGATGCCCCTGACAGGCCAGCTTCCTCTCTAGAGGGTCCTAAGAGAGAGCAGAATTGCTGTGAGCTGTGTGGACAATGTCCACCTTCTCAGTGCACAGACTCTCTGCTACCTGCTGACTGCTAAGGGGTGCTGGCCAGCAGAACTGCTCTTTTCCTAGTTACCAAGGCCATAGCTCCAGGAGTGGTTTTGGGGGCACTTTTCTGAAGTGCCTAATAATCTTATATAAGCAATACCAGAAGCAAGAATGAAATGAATGGAGAGCCTGAATACTAACTTGAGCAGTCTTCTTTCTTCTCTTGAAGGAGAAGAAACTTAGAAGAGACTTTGACATGGTCAAATTTCTTTTCCGTTCACTCCCTCCTGTCCAGGGAAGGCCAAGAAAAGGTGGCATAGTGCCTAAGGCATTTGACTGCTAACCAGAAGGTTGACAGTTAAAACCCACCAGCCACTCTGCGGAAGGAAGACTGGGCAATCTACTTCCATAAAGATTCACCGTCTCGGAAACCCAAAGAGGGTCACTGTGAGTCGGAATCGACTCGATGGCAGTGAGTTTGGTTTGGTTTTGGTTTCTGTTACCACCTTCCCTTTGCCTGTGAGGACAAAGCCCAGGTTTAGCCAGTTACATGAACCTGGAGGGAAGAAGTGGAGATGTAAACTTTCTTGCTTGTAGAACTAAAGACAGCCCAGGAAGCACAGGGTCCCCTGGATCTCCCAAAAAAAAAGGGAAGGCATGAACAGACAGGGCCTGCTCACACTCACCTATCACTGCCCTGGGCATGGGTTTAACATAAATGAAAGCAACACCCATGCCTCCTGTATTTTCATGCCTCCAGCATCATTCTGAAGGCCTTTGTTTTTCTATCTGTATCATGGGAACAGAGCTGTGCTTCTGAACTTCTGATCAAACTCAATATCAGAGCCTTTGTATTAATAGATCCCCACACCTAGCCACTCCTGGCAGCAACCCCACTGGAAACTGATTTTTTCGTTGTTTTCAGTTGACTACTTACTGTTCTGAGCGTTAAAAGACTCTCCTGGGTCAGATCCTCAGTTACACCAAGTCTCTGGCAGCACCCACTTTGGCCTCACTCTGGGCATCTCTCAGATGCAGATTCCTGGCCCTGCCTTTGGCCTAGTGCCTTGAAGGGAGCCAGGTCAGACTCGGAAAACATGATCAGGCAGGAAGATGGGTGGGCTCAGAGCCTCATGGAGCCATGAGACAGGTGCGGATATCTCCAGGGAGCTGTGTGTTCATGAATTGTGGGGACAGCTCCCGAAATAGTGCCCACCCCTGGCAAAGATTTCATTCTTGGCTGGATTAGAATTATGATGTTACAGAGTAAATTAGGTCTTTTTTTTTTAAGAGCTTGTTTTACATTCAACGTTAAGTGTACATTTAGTTTCATTCCTCATTTACCATGTCCAACCCTAACCCAGTCTCCTTCCCTCCCTACCCTGTAACCCTCCCCCTGTGCCCCTCATATTTATGCACTCCTGTTTGTCCTGCATTTCCTCAATTTGAATGTTGGTCCCCTGGTGTCCCATGGTCTATTGCTCTAAGGAATGTATTACCATAGAGTATGTGGGTACATCTCCCTGGGTTAAGTGGTCTGCATGTACATCTTGTTAACTATTGGGCTGAGAGCCAGCCCCTGGGGGTGAGTTTTATTCCAGGCGCAGAATGTATTCCAGGGCCATAGTATTGGGAGTCTCACCAGATTTCATCTGACCAGTAATTCTGGTCATTATTGAGTTTTTGGATTTTGTTCCATGTTTTTCCTCCTACTGTATCCAGGATCTCCAGATTTGATCCTTTCCTGAGTGGTTGGCATTGGTAGCCAGGCACCATCTTGTTCTTCTGGTCTTGAGGGCCAGCGTGTCCTAGGGCTGATTGCTTCCAAATACCCTTGTTTGTTTTTTTTTTTGTTTTTTTGCATTCTTCTTCACTTCTGACACTAGGAGACTATTAGCTGCATCTTAGATGGCCGCTTAAAAGCTTTTAAGACCCCAGTCACTACTCACCAATGTAGGATGTGGAGAGCAAGGCTTTTATGTATTTTGTTGTGCCAAATGAATCTGGTGTCCCCCAGTACTGTGGTCCTCAGACAATAGATCTATTGGTTCTCTCTCCCATAGTGTCTGGTTGTCTGTGAGGGATTACTCTATGTCTGTCTTCTATTGTTTCTGTAAGGACTGCAGGTATTTTGTATCACTGGTGTCTGTGCAAGATTAGCCTCAGCTGAATCTATCCTTGGCCTAGAGTGCACTCCTGTTTACTGGCCCCCATCTGATCCTCTCAGGTGTTTATGTGTTTATCTGTAACCTAGTGTTTGGTGTTAATGGCAATGCAGTATTGTGGACACATTGGTTGGTATTAGGGTAAGTTAAGTCTTAGAAGACTTGTCTCTGGGTAGCTCTGGCCAAGCTTCCTTTTCAAAATGTGAGAGGATTAATGGGATCAGAGGAGTCACCCAAGAGCATGTTTTATAAAGCCCATGACTTCTAGAGTCTCCCCATCAGCTGTCTACAGCCTGTAAGTGATGTTAATAGGTATTCTCAAAGCTTGTGAGCAACCATTTAAGATACAACTATGGTCTTTTCCCACCCGGAGCAAAGATTCAAGGAAGCAGTTAGCCCAAGGATGAATGGCCCACATGAACCACAGCTTCCTCTAGCCTGAGACCAGAAGAACTAGATGGTGCCCGACTACCGCCAACAGCTGCTCTAACCAAGAACACAGCAGAAGGTCCCAATTAGAATGAGAGAAAAATGTACAACAAAACTCAAATTCATAAAACAAATAAATAAATGAAAACAGTCTTACTGGTCTGATAGAGACCAGAGGATCCCCTGAGACTACTGCCCTGAGTCACTCCTAACTTGGAACTGAAGCCACTCCCAGAGGCCATCTCTCAACCGATAATAGATTGGCCTGTAAACAGTAACACCTGTGAGGAATGTGCTCCTTAGGACAAACAATTATATGTGACCAAAATGGCAACATTTCCCTAAAAACAAAGATGAGAAGTTAGGAAGGGGCAGGGAAACTGAATGAGCAGAAACAGAGAACCCAGGGTGGAATTAGGGTGAGTGCTGATACATTGTGGGGATTGCAAGCAATATTATAGAACAATTATTGAATGGAAAACTAATTCGCTGTGTAAACTTTCGCCTAAAGCACAATAAAATGTTCAGGGGAAGAAACGGAAAAAAAAAAAAAGATATTCTCAAGGAGGAAGAATGGGTCCAAGTTCAAATAAATTATGGAAATTTTATTAAAAATTAAGCTATTTCTTCATTGCAGGACTTCTCAGAGTCTTTAATTTGCTAATGTCCTTTAGGACTCTCTAACAGGGAGTTGGAGTAGAAAGGGCAGGCCCTACCTTCTTCCCTACCCAGGCATGGGCATGAGTCATCAGATACTTGAACTGGAAGGGATCCCTAAGCTCAAGTAGTTCCAGCTCTATCATTTTATAGATAAGAAGACTGAGGCTAGGAGAGGCAGAAAAATTTGCCCAAGGTCACATTGCCAATAAGTGGCCTGGCTGATGTTGGATAGGTGTCATCCTATTATTCCCCCCAAGACCATAATCACTAATGTTAATTCACTCAGTCCCCCTGGTGGCTCCATGAAACATTCTTGTGGTACCTCCACTCTCCTGACATTAAAATGAGTTTCAATATGGCTGTCCCCTGACATTGAGGCAGGAGCGTAGTTGGCCATGAGCACAGCCTTCAGGTCCTAAAGAAGGGTCAGAGACATACATGGGCTCTGGAAGGATTTTTCCTGAATAGAGTTCCTTAAGTAGCCCCTGGAAAGAGCTGGGGATGGCACTGCCTTAGCCTGGGTGAGGCAACGCCTGGCCGTCTGTCACACTGGACTTTGCCTTGCTGCAGGCTGGAGAAGTCAAGCCAAGTCCGCACAGTGTCCAGCAGCAATTTATTCTTTAAAGGAAGCCGGTTCCGATACAGGTAAATAGTGACAGTAAGTAAGCATTATGGATCTATTTTCAGACCCTTCTCTGGAGAACAGTTGCTCAGTGGCCCTTGCCCTTGAGAACAAAGAAATTGGAGAACTCCCAGAAAAGCCAGAGGTTTTTATGCAATTCTTCTCCTGACCCTTTTACTATGTCTTTCCTTCCCTACAGCTGTTAGTCCGTTGTTGTTGTTGTTGTTATTTGCCGTCGAGTCGGCCCTGACTCATAGCGACCCCTCTTTGGGTTTCTGAGGCAGTATCACTACGGAAGTAGGATTGCCCAACCTTCCTTCCGAGGAGTGGCTGGTGTGTTAGTCTGTAGGGTTTTTAATTTTCTCTTTTCTGCCTTTCCTTACAACAGCAGCAAAATAAAAACTATCACAGTGATTCTTTTCATGTATCACTGTCTAAAGTTTTTTGGGGTTTTTTTTTTTTTTTTTTTGAGATGTTATTAGAACATCCTGGACAATGAGGAATCATTCAAAAATGGGAATGGAAGACCCCAAAGACTCCAGAGATAGAGCCCTCTAAGATAGGCTGTCAGAATATTTTAGGACTCTTCTATCCCAACAAGCAAGCCTTTGCCGGTGACCAGAATGTTGGGAAAGGGATAAGGCTGAAGAAGCCCTCTCCTGATTCAGCTGAAGCATCTGAGATCTTGGAGAGAAGCCCAGTACTGGAACACTGTCTCATTTCTTGATGCTTGTTTTTATTATACTACTCATAGTGGCCGAGTTGCAAAGGAAGTAATGGAGTCCAGTGCCAAGATCAAACGGGAACCCCCAGAAATACACAGGTAGGTTGCCAAGGGCTTCCCCAAAAACCAGTTCCAGCCCAGATCCCAGAATCTTGAGTTTGAATATTGCAAAGATCCTGGGCACAGTAGCTACCAGAAGAGGAACAGGGCAGGACAGTGAAGAGACCCTATCAGCTGAAGATGTGGGGAGAGTCTTTGACCCTTGTATCCCTGAACCCTGATGGAGAATCAGGGACTGAAGACTACATACAGATCCAGCCACCACCTTACTGGGCCCTCCCATGTCCTGACACTGATCATAGACCGTGGAGAATTTGTCTATTCCCACAAGTCCAAGAGGCAATATTGCATTGATTCTGGAATGAGTCCATTACAAGATGCCAACGATGGCCCCACAGCCCTGGCACATTGGGTCTTAAATAGTTTTGGGTTCCATGCTTCATGCATAACTATAAATCATGCATCTCCTAGAACCTGGCAGATCTCAGAAAGAATCTAATTGGTCATGGCTAGGATCCTAAAGAATTCATCCTGCACCAGTGAGGAAGCATTATCTCTTGCCCTTTCACCTGGAACCCCCTGCCACCAGCATCCTCTGTTGGAAGTTAAAGGAGGCTGCCAATATTGGTATTGAGACACATTTTCAGGAGTACTGCTCATCCTGGGATTCTACTCCCTGACAGTCCTGCTCCTAGAGACCAGTTGCACTGAAGAAAGGTTCAGGGGGGTGTGGGATATAAGGAGGTGAAAAAGTTTGAGGCATTGGGATCCAGAGACTAAAGCAAAGATAGTATTGCAGATTAAAAAAAAAAAAAAAAAGCCAAAATGTTAATTCAGCCTAATAGTTCTAGCAGCTGGCACTCTAATTTAGGTCCCTACCACATTTGTCTGTGCACTGAGTTAAAACAGGGTTCTCTTTCTTTAACCTCAGAGCAGGGATGGTTCCAAGTCAGAGCTGCCCCTCCATAACCCATGGCCCAAGGCTGAGCAGCGTTCCCAGGACCCGCAGAAGAGCTGTTCACATCTCCATTATGGAAGGTGAGCAAGAGCTCCAGATGCCTGTGGGGTTCCTCCATTGTGACTGGCTAAATCCCTCCTCAGGGACCTTAGAAAGAGGCTAATTTGCACTAGAGAAAGCAGCAAGTTTCTCTGAGGAAGGTTTTCCCCCAGGGGATGGGAACACCAACTGAGCAATCTACCTTGCTAATCTACAAGGTGAAGGGGAATCCCACCAGCCCGACCATGCTGAAGTCTGGGATGGAGGATCACAGGTCTGAGTGTTGGGTTACTTTATGTATGAATGTGGAATCTACCAGGTTCCATAGTTCTGAAATAGCTTTCCATCAAGAGGTTTTCATTTCTTTTCCAGATGTGATAAATCTTTACAGCTTAAGTAATCAAGGTGACTGAGGCGGTTAACCAAGAAATGAAAACTCTTGTTTCTGAAGCATTCCAGTAGCTACCACCACCTTCTACTTCATTTATAGAGACCCATCGTCTTGCTAAGGAGCTTGGGTGGTGCAGTGCCTAAGGCATTTGACTGCTAACCAGGAGGTTGGTAGTTCAAACCCACCAGCCACTCTGTGGAAGATGGGGCAATCTACTTCCATAAAGATTTACAACCCTGGAAACCCAATGGAGGTCACTATGAGTCAGAATGACTGGATGGCAGTGGGTGTGGTTTGGTTTGGTTTATCCTCTTGCTATCTAAACTCCTTACTATTGTCTCAGAAAACCCAATTCATTCCTTCTGTCTTCACTTCTTTCCTCCCTTTGGGGGAGGGAGAGGTGGAGAGTCTGTGTATCCTTAGAACTGGATACTCTCATAACAGAGGCCAAGACCTCTGTATTATTTGGGTATTTAATAAGTAGGCGATTCACTCTGAATATTGCTCTCTAGCAGTTATCAACCCAGCTTGCCCCATAGACTGAAAACAGGTGAAAGTTGAGTGCTTTTCCTCCAGAAGACCTCAGATCTCAAACAGCAGGAAATAGCAGCTCTGTCCTGGAATTAATGGGCTGGAGGGTAGGAAGAGTACCCTTTGCCATTTCTGTGAGAATGCTGCTTGTTAATGAAAATGAATTGATTAGATTAGAAAGGATCTCTCTATGCTCTTCTCCCAGAGGAGGACGTCTGGAATGTGTTTAGGATTTTATCATATGTTACATTTATCATGTTACATAGAGTCTGAGACTCTACGTCACTTGAGCAGGATATATATATAACTATAAAGTCTTAGGGCTGGGAACCCTGGTTGGGTTGTTTATTTGAGGGTCTTAGGAAGGAAGATTGGGCAATCTACTTCCATAGTGATACTGCCTCGGAAACCCAAGGAGGGGTCGTCGCTATGAGTCGGGTCCGACTTAACAGCACATAACAACAACAACAAGGTGCTTCATTTGTAGAACAGGGGCATCTTCCTTGCCTACCCCACAGTTTGTGAGAAACCTAATATATGCACAAGTATTTTAAAGTGATTAAGGCATTTACTAGGCAGGCAGCAGGCACAGTGCAAAGAACCCCAGTCAGTAAGTCAAAAAGAAAGGTGCAAACCCAAGCTCTGTGGCCGGTTGCTTCACTTCTCTGAGCCATTACCCCAGTGTGGGATGGAGTCTCAAAAGGGTGTGGAAGAACGCCTTATAAATGACTGTGCTTAGCCTCCTTAGACTGAGTTGGAGAACTAAGCATGGTTCGTGCTGTTCCTCTTCTTTTGGGATGTTCACCTCAGGAAGGTGGGAGAATTTCTTCTCCTCTTTTGAGGAAATATGACTTTCTCCCTTCTCTGTGGCCCTTTCTTCCTATCCATCTTAAAACTGAAGGCACCAGGTTCATCCCAAGCTCCTACAGAAAGTTGGGACAACTGTCCTTCCAGAGGAAAGACTAACCCCAAGTGAAGCCGGCATTAATGCAGGTGTAAAACAGGAGAGGAGCCTCACTCACTTCTGCTTCCTCAAATGTGGCAAGACCATCCAGTCACACAGCATTCTCACAAGAGGGAATGCTGAGGCTGTCAGTGTGGAGACAAAACTCATTTGGAGTAGCTGCCAAGTAGGGTTAGCAAAACAACTCAGAAGTGGGGACATCTGTCCTTGTGCCCCCAACAGTCTGAGGCAAGTTCAGTTCCCAACCTAGCCTTGCCTTTGCCTCCAGCCTCCTCCCCAAACTCACCTTCTCCCATTGCAGCAGCAGGCTCTTCAACATCCAAGATCCCAAAATATTCACACTTGATTGCAAAACACCAGGGGAAGGCACAATGGGTAGAGGCTGCTGTGGAAGCTATTAATGCCCCTAGGGCCAGCTGCATCTCCTCCAAATCTCAGCCTCACACAAATCCACGCTTGACAGATTATGGACACAGCAGGGACCCATGTATTTCTCACCAAGCCAACCTGCTCTTCACACCACATGTCCAAGGCTGCCTACAAATGAGCACAGCCTACCTTCCCCTCATGATGGCCTCCACCTTCTTGAGATGAAAACCTCAAAAGAGGGAAAGCAAAATCCATGCTTAGTTCTCATCTCAGTTAAAACAGGAGAAGCCAGGAGGCTAAATGCAATCAGATCTCAGTAACTGCAATACGTTGCATAGCCATTGCACTTGGTAGTTTTCAAGGCACTGTCCCCCACCCTTACTGAGACTCCATACCACAGTAGGGGCAATGGACTTAGAAAGGGTAAGCAAAGGCCCAGGACCTATTAGAGTCAGGAGTGAGTAGGTGTAAGAGCTAAGTGATCCAGCAGGATGAAATGCACAGGCTTTGGATGAGAGGCAGATGGAAGCTGGATACAGACTTACTAGCTAAGTTGGATGTGGAGGTGAAAAAAAAAAAGATTTTAGCAGTTAAATGGCTCAACCATTGCAAGGATTACCAGGTCTCTGGAAATAAAGAATTCCAGGAGGTGAGAGTTCAGATGCACCATTTCAAGGGGGTTTGGCCTGTAGGAGTTCATAGAAAACAAAGTTGATCCTAATTGTCCACCCCAACCAGGCATGATGGGGCTGTGAGGTATGTGTTAAGGGCTTAAAACAGAGGACACAACCAACCAGAACTCCAAGGGTCTTGTAGACATCTGAAAATGGTTCATCCCCCATCAGAGAGTGTCTTTCCCATAGTGTATATGGTCCATAAATTATTATCACATAAGCCATTTGATTTTTCTAGGGAGAAAGCTTTATTTGCTATTTCCAAAAACAATGGGAAAAAATGCATAAACATACCATTACAGTTTGAAAAGAACCATGTAATTGCAGTAAAGTGGGGCCCTTAAAAAAATGCTTATGCTTTGAGTTGGCACTACCCCTCACTCTTGGGGATGCCAAGATAACATATATTACCAGCATAGGCCTGACCCAGAAAGGACTCGCAGGTGTGTTGGTTTCTTTTGCCCACTGTACCCTGCTCCACCACTCAGTACCAGGGTGCTGACAGTGTGGGGTCTAGTGGAGGACAGTCACAGCCCATTTCCCACCGGAGCCACCTCAACTCAGTGTCACCTCCTCATACTTCAGAGCCACCCAGCCCAAAACTAGTGGTGACAGTGTAACTTCATTGGCACCAAGACCCAGCCTATACTATATGTGGCCTGAAAAAAAGCCCATGTCTTTGGGGCTTTCTGGGACATTCTTGATTACAACTACCCTGTGGGATTGTTTCTTGCCTTCTTTGTTCCTCACCCTCTGAGAGGTCTGGGCCCTTACAAGGGCCTCAGGGAAAGAGCTTCTGGCTGGGGAAGCATTGCTTTTTATGGCTCTGAGTGCTTCTGGCTAAATACAGCCTCCTGATAATGCCAGCCTTACAGAGCTGCTGCTCCTCTGCAGCTCAGGCTGCTCTGAGGCTCAGGAAGCCGGCTTCTCTCTCCAGCCGGAGGCTTGGCTAAGGGGCTGCTATGGCGTAAAATCAGCAAGAACCTTTTGTCCCTAGTTGGCTTTCTGTCCTTTCCCTCTTTACATCTCCCCTGCCTGGCTGGTTTTCATGAAGAGAACTGCATGCCTGAAGAAGTGTCTGCCTCCCAGGGTCACCATGGGGAAGAGTCTGATTAAGATTCACACCAGAGTCCGCGTTCAGCTCCGGGTGACCAATCACTGCTTTCGGCCCATGAGTGTGCGCATCCTGAGGATGGGGCCCCGGCTCCAGGGGAGGGTCCTGACTGCTGTGCCCCTCAGCCCTCTGGGAGCCACCTCTGGGCCAGGGAATCAGCTGGAACACCTCCAAGGTAAAAAGGACACTCATTTGTCTTGCTGTGCTACTCAGTCCAGATTCCACCCATGGCGCCCACTCCATCCATCCCAGAATAACAGGTTGGATGAAGGGGCAGGGCAGGTGGTAGTTTCTACAGTAGTGAAAACTAAGCTCTTTGTCTAGGACTAACCTGGCATGGGAATCATAACCTTACAGGGGACATCTTTTGTTGAGAACAGAATTAACGTTTGCTGAGTATTTTGTCAAGAACTCTACTAGAAGCACCTACATATCCATTATCTTATTAACTGAGAGCACCAACAATCCACAATATAATGTGACATCTGGTGTCCCTCTGACTTGTTTTCTGATGTCACAGCCTCTGCCTTGCTCCTTCTCCAGCAAGCTTAGGGCTTAATTATAGGCCAAGCCTACAATTCAGACTTGCTTTGAAGCAGCTACTGGCAGCTAAGTTGGTCAGATTTTGGAAGATCTGGGCAGTCAGAACTGTCCTTGTGATGGGACAGGCCCTTGGAAGAGTATCAAGTGCCCTGTGCAGTGGGTTCCAGGGGAAAGGGTAACTAGAGGAGTATCTGGGTAGGGAGCCCAGCCAGCAACACACTGCAATCAAGGCCTCAAGGTTCTGGTTTATCAGTGACTCATAACACACTCCAAGTTACAATCACATTGCATGTACAAATAAGACCATTAGAAAGAACTACTGGACAAAATTAAAAGGTCAGAGGAATATCAAAAGCTCTAGGAAAAGGGGCAGGAGCTCTTCATGTTGTTTCACAACAGTTCTCTTGAGCAATTAGAACTGAATCTTAGACAGGTGCAGGCTGTTGACTTAATAAATCCTGGCCCATTGCTCCAATCCCCCAAATCCAATTACATGGTCAGCAGCACCATGAAATGGAAGGAGGCTTGTGTTCTGGCTTTTGCTTTGCCATTACCAACCAACCGTATGACTTTAGGCAAGTTGCATAACCTCTCGCTCTACTTCATGGAGTGGGTGAAAGATAAACTGAAGGTGCTTTAGAACGTTTAAAACCCTACACAAGTTTAAAATTTGAGCACAGAGGCACCCGGCAAACAGAATACAGCTAGGACCATGTGGAGCTTCTCTGAGAGCTGTGGCAAATACCCTAATGACAAGGCTACAGAGTATAAGCAGAGAGCAGGCCCTGCCTCACCTCTCCTCCTCCTCACTCATACCCATTGTTCATACCCAATTCTCAGGGTGCACCCCTCTGGTGCAGTACCTTAACTGTGCCTGTGCTGAGATGGCTGGCCCCACTAGGCTGCTGGGACAGGCTGCCTGGGTGCATATGGCCACCCCACAAGGGAGCCAAAAGCATGTGACACTTTGGAAAGGTTACTGATGCCTTTTTAAGACTTTTGGGCTTGTGGAGCTAGCCCTGAAAATGAATAAAGGTGAATAGTGCTAAGCTCCCTGATCAGCCCTAGTTAGGCCAATGCTTTACCACAGTTGAGAATCTGGTTTAGTCAGGCATGTTAAGAGCTTTCAGAGCAACATAAGGGGGGCCAGCTCTTCATGTCTTGGGCTACAGAGGCAGGGAGAGCCACTCTGGCACCACAGAGATGGCCATGAGTGGGAAGTGCTGACGCTAAAGCTGAAACCAGAAGCCCTTTCCTTGAGAGCTCTCTGACATGGGCCACACTCAGAGCCTGTGAGCCCAAGTCCTCTAACCTGGCCGGCTGCTGTTGAGCGTGACCAGCTCCTGTTTGTCCCCTTCATACCTTAAACTTTGTGAGGGCTCTGGAAAAAAAAATTCTTTCCATTTGAGAAAGAAAAAAGATGAATGGGTAGCTTTAGGGGCCAGAAGACCCTAGCAAATGTAGGCAACGCCCCCCCCCCCCCTTTCTACCTAGATCAAAGTTCTTCTCAGAGGCTGTGCTGAGCTCTGGAGGGCCTCAAGATACAGAGCTGTTCCCTGTCACTTTATTCTAGATGCAGCAAGGGACCCTGCTCATTCAAAGGTGTAAAGAAAGGGGCTGGCCAGGAACTACCCCTTCTCCACCTGGAAGCATTTAGGAAAGGCAGATTGAGTTTTCTCCATCCCAGTGTCAGGGCAGCTGGACGTGGGAGGCAGAAGAGACTGAGAGCAATTACAGAAATCCAATAGATGACCTCACGAGCTTGAGGACCTGCATTCAGAATTGGTACAAGGACACTGTGCCCTAGAAGTTAGTGTTCAATGAAACTCAAATAAACAAAACACATTCCCCTTGTCCCCATTCTTACTTCTCAGGGCCCTAAGCCCATGAGGCAGACCTGAGCCCCCTGAACTGTGGCCCTAGCTCTGGATCAGAGACAAGCTGACATTTCAATTCTCTTCCAAAACCAGAAAGAAAGAAAAAAAAAAAAAAACTCTTCCAAGCAGGGACACTTTGATTTCTGCTGCTTCTCTTGTCCTATTTATGATACAACAAAATGGAGTGCAGTGGGCACTGCTGCTGGTCATGTGAGGGGTGGAGGGGGGCTGCTTCTTTAGATTCAGGAACCGAATAAAACAATGGGCGCTATCTCCACGAAACAGCAAAGTGTGCACTGTGACATGAAAAACCTACCCATGTTCCTTTTGCTTCTACAGGTCTAGAGTCCCTCCGGGACAGTGCCCATTCCACCCCAGTGCGCTCCTCTTCCCATGGGGACACCTTCCTGCCTCACGTGAGAAGCAGCCGGGCAGACAGCAATGAGCGAGTGGCTGTGATTGCAGATGAGGCCTACAGCCCTGCAGACAGTGTGCTGCCCACCCCTGTGGCCGAACACAGCCTGGAGCTGATGCTGCTTTCCCGGCAGATCAATGGGGCCACCTGCAGCATTGAAGAAGAGAAGGAGTCTGAGGCCAGCACCCCAACTGCTGCAGAGGTGGAGGCCCTTGGGGGAGAGCTGAGGGTCCTGTGTCACGGGCATGGCAGGCCAGAGGAGGAACAGGTGAATAAGTTTGTTTTAAGTGTCCTCCGTTTGCTCCTTGTGACCATGGGACTCCTCTTTGTTTTGCTCCTCCTCCTGATCATCCTCACCGAGTCTGACCTTGACATTGCCTTTTTCCGAGATATCCGCCAGACCCCCGAGTTTGAACAATTCCACTATCAATACTTTTGTCCCCTCAGGCGATGGTTTGCCTGCAAAATCCGCTCAGTGGTGAGCCTGCTCATTGACACCTGAGAAGGCATGACTCCTCCCAATAACTAGCCAGGTGGACCAAGGAGAGCCCGGCTACCCATTCCCAGCAAAGGGACCCATCGCGGAACCATCGGCACATATACCAAGTCCTCCTCTCATGACTCAAAGTCCACTGCAGCCTAGGAGGGTTGTTTCCCAGAAGAAGAAAGGGATAGGCTCGTGCCCTGTCTAAACAAACTGGGAAAACTCATTTTCTTCAGAGGTTCTTTCAAGAAAGGCTCACCGACTCTTTCTCATCCTTCCAATTTACAGGATTGTTTTTGGTTCTGAATTTTGATTTTTCATAGATGTGTATTATTTTGAAAGTATCAAATAAAGATAATTTATTTTACTATTACTGATTATCGCAGTAGTGTCACCTAGTAGGCGGGACACTAGTTGAAGACTAGAAGTGGTTGTCTTCTGTGTTCTGCAGGAGCTTTCCTACTGGTGCTACTGGATTCCAGTAGACTCGTCACTGCAGCCTCAGCGGGACAGGCCAGGGGTCTGAACAATGGGGACTGTTTAAGTTTTCTTGACAGGCAGAACTTTTTAAAAAGTAAACATCCATGTAGAATGATTAAATGAAAAGTTGCTTCTTATGATGGTCTGAGTTGGATTTTCTTTTCCTTTTGTTTTTTCAAATCTGAGCAGAGTGGGCATCTGAAGGGACCACGGCTACAGCAGCAGCAGCAGCAGCAGGGGTGGGGTAAGTCTGTCCCCTTAGATTAGAGCCTAGTGGGCATCACCATGAGTTTTGTATAATGAACTTAGCCTTCTGTGGGGTTTTTTTTTTCCCTGAAGAACCTCAAGATTCTTATAGTGCTTCAGTGGCGTTACGTGAATTCAGTGGTGCCAGAGGTAGTACTGTCAGAAATGTTGGACAACGTAGAGTTAACAGAAACCAGAGCTAAATTACCGGAGAGACTGTTGAGATTCAGACAGCAGTACTTATTTTGTACACACCAAAAAAAAAAAAGACTATTTCAATTTATATTTTAACAACAAAATGTTATTTTCTTATCAATTCATATTTTGTTTTTACTTTATGGATTAAGAAAATAGAACCTGATGAACTAAACGATGCAAGAAAGAAACCCATCCTGAAAATGAAAAGCTTCAAAAACACAATTTCAACACAAGATCAACAAACAGCCTTGGAAGGGACCAGGAAAAGAATCTCTTTAGGATTTTTAAGAGATGTCTACAAGAGAAAGACGCTGAAGGTGGCAAAGAGATCAACACTTAGATGTAGAAATACTGCCCCCTAGGGTCCACCTCTGCACCCCGAAAACACATTCTAGCCTAGGGAAGCACCTGCCATCCTGCAGAGGGAAGCCCTGGAAGCAGGCAGAAGCCTGTGCATGTGAAGGGTGAGTAGGAGGTCTGAGCTCCAAGCTCGGCAACTCTTAAAACCACTCACAAGATCTTGTTTTCATCTCAGGGAGAGATTTCTAAATCATCTGGGGCATGAGGACTTATATTTAAGGACTATCAGTAGACATATTCCTGAGACCCACACAACAGTGGAGCACTGCTGACACCTTCTGATGGTGGACAGCCCTATGCAGAACAGAATGAGTCATTTATAGATTTGACCTCCCCAGTTCGTCCCAAGATAGTAGATCTGTACCCATGTTTAGAATACAACAGCTGTGGGATAAATGTTTTTTTGTGTGTGTAGGGAGGGAGAAGGGTTAATTGCGTAATTTTAAAGAAAGATACCCTTTTATCTAGACCAGGGGTTGGCTTATTTCTGCAAAGTGCCAGAGAGTAAATTTTTTTTTTAATTTTGACTTTGTGGGCCATACCTTGTCACAGCTACTCAAGTCTGCCGTTGTAGCACAAAAGCAGCCATCGACAATAAACAAATGAGCATGGCTGTGTTCCAATAAGTTTATTTACAAAAACAGACAGTGAGCTGAATTTGGCCCACAGATCATAATTTGCCAACCTCAATCTAGACAATGTAATAGAGAGAGGGTCAGCTCTGCTCCAATTCCTGACAGGTGTTAAAAGATCTAGGACCACTTCCCAGTGGAGGCACTGGGGTTGCTTGTTTAAAGGGTGCTCGAACAACCAACCAGCAAAGAGATGGCTGAAGCCAGGATGAGCAAGATCAAATACTGGAATGCTAAAAATGCACTGGAATTTAAGAATGAAAGAGGGCCTCTCTGATCATTTCCATACCAGCAACAATTTGGGCAGAGTTACAAACATATATTTCCCAAGTGACAAGACAAACTTGAGGGAGAGCCTGGTAAAAATTAGGAATCACTTAAAACTAACTAGTCACTGCCACTTGTCATCTACATAGGAAAGGCTTTATTCAGTACAAGACTAAAGTGAAAAGTGGACTCACAGATGAAAAAGCTGTCAGGAGACAGGGGGCTGGTTTTGACCTGGATATCTAGTGTCTTATGCAACATAGCAGATTACCTTTTAGTGTAGTGTTCCTACCTCAGTCTGTAGAATATGGTGTTTCTATGCAGTGAGTAATAGCCTCAACTCTGACCTTTCATGTTCACACTAAAGAAAGATGCAGTGTTCCATTTCCTGATATGTTACTTGTGTCTAGAGTTCTTATAACAGTATGACAGTCCATTCCACTTCCAACAGCTGAATTTTGCTCTCTGAACAGAAACTTTGGGGTTATGTGTTTTTTTTCCAGGGCTAATCTCAGAAAATATGGATAGAAGTTTCCTTCCGTTTGCTTTTCAAATAGTGCTTGAATAACAAACCTCCTTTTGTTGGAGACTAGTCTTTTCTGGAATCTCCCACCAGTTAAAATCATTTGAGTTTTTAGCCTGGTTTTACTGTGTTCCACCGTGTCTCTTGTTTTCTCTCAAAATTAGTTTGATCTCCCTGTAGAAAAAGCAATGGTTTCCGCAGCTTCATCTATCAAAGGAAATAAACTCTTACTAAAGAATAGTATACTGCATCTTTAAGCAGTAGAGGGTAAACTACCTACAAATGTGAATTTCTTAGTTTCATTAAAAAATATATAGTTGTTAACCTTTTGTGTGCCAAAAATTCTAAGTTACATTTTCCTTCAAAGCAATGTACTTTTTTCTACATATGCAGTATGTAGTTAGCATAAAATCATTGGTGCCATGAAGATTATTTTTAAACTTAAATAAATATTTAAATACCATGGAAAAGAGTGGGCTCTTTGTTTACTTACAGCCTGTCTTGGTTTTTCCCTTTTAAAGTTACCAACACAAGGATTAAAAGATGGCAGTGGGATTACACAGCTGACTGCTGTTCAGGGCTAAGATCATTTAACATAAGCATTCTGTTTATATCCTCTATTTCCCTTCTCCTTCCCACCAAAATAAATGCTATTAGGAACTGAGAAGATGTAAGTATGGAATAATTTTAGAGATGTAGTGGACCTCATTTCCTGATGAAGAAAGTTAAGTCATTTTCTGAAGTTACCCAATTAGTCTTAGAGCTCACACTTGAATCTAGATGGTCCAGCTTCTAGTCCAGTGTTACTGAAACCTGGAGCAAGAGAACAGAAAACACTTCCTTTGAAGGAAATACAATGACACCACCAATAAACTTCATGTTTATAATTTATAAAATATATTCCTCTAACATTATCTTAACTATGTAAACATTACTCTGTGGCCACAGAACTAGTAATAATAAAAAGTAAAACTAGGAGCCTGATGCTAAATTATCTAATCTTCCTGTTTTCGATTCTACCAGCCCTTTAAGCCATTCTGCTACCAGTCATCTTCCCAAAGCACCAGTTAGGGTATGTCACTCACCTCAAAACAGTAAGTGGTTCCTCTTACTTATAAAATGGCATCCAGAGCCCTGTCACCAGTGGAGTGCTTCACTTTTTTTTTTTTGGTGACAAAATCTTTGCTGGAAGTGATCTGATGAGTGAAAATCGTAAGAACTGCTGGACTTCAATGGTCCCACATGACCCTCCAGACTTCCAAAAGCCTCCCTTCCCACTAACATCTAACCGAGAACTCACCTGCGCACACCCTCTTCTTTAGGGCTCCAGCATGTACCCCCTTGCTTTCGGTTTCTCAGTCACAACAAAGCCCCTCTGTACCTGACCACACTTTTGGTTTTAGTAACATCACCTACAACTTGCTAAGTGGACTAAAATAGGTAAAACATTTCCTCTTGCACACTTTCTATTTTGGAAGGTTTTACTCCTCAGCTGTATATAACTGCTAAATATATCTCTTCACAAAATTCCCACCTTTTCATTTGAAAATCCAAACATCGATATTGTCTTGGAACTAAAGCTGTGCCAGACTCTCACTCTTTACTGACCAGCAATACCATACCAAAATCAAACAAAGAGACTAAAGACAGAAGGGAACAGTCTAACAAAAAGACACCTAAGTGTCTGGAATCTGATCAGTTAGAGAGCATGTATGCCTTCCTTCTGGGTTTGACAGAGAAGCATGGGTGTCTGTTTCTCTCCCATGTTCGGTGTGCTTGGCTGAAAGGATTTCAATCTTTGTATCCACAGCCCTAAAGCTTCCTGCTTTCCTGGAGAACTGCCTTTGCAAAGTCTTCTCTTTGGAAAGGAAACTCAAAAGGCCAGAATACTAAAATAGGATTTAAGCAACTAAGATTCTATTGATTTCTAATTATTTACACTCTCTCCTAGTCTGACCAAGTCTCTGTCCACCCAAAATGAGAACGATCTCCTTCCTCCTTAAAGTCATGTTAAAAATGTGGGAGGGGAGGAGAGGGAACCCTGCAAAAATAAATTAAAAAAAAAAAAAAAATGTCATGTTTAAAAATAAAAAGGCTAGGCATCTCAAAATGTGAGTGACCAGTATGGCAGCATTGAGGATGAGAAAGACATAGAGAGGTACATGGGAGGTACAGACAACAAATATGAACCGTTTTGCACATACAGTACTGCGTTGTCAGTGAAGGCAAACATGGGTATATGGATGGGTATATGGATGGACAGATGGGTGGACAGGCTAAACGATTAGGTATGTCTATGAAATGGGGAGGGTATCCAAGAACATATATTGGGTTGGCAGACAATGGTCCTATAAGTTTATGTGAATGATCAGAATCCCCAGGTGTATAGTAGAGTTGACAAGGGGAAGGTTGTGGTCACTGCTTGGTCACAGCCAGCTACCCAGAGGGACTGAGTAGTTGAACCTGTGGCCTTGGGACCATAGTCGCAGGGGACATCAAGCTCAATTGGCATAACATACTATACAAAACACTGTTCCACCTCCTACTTAAAAGCTAACAAGCTGCCATCTAGAGGCAACGATGGGTCTCTCCTCGTCCAGAGCAAGGAAGAATGAAGAAAACCAAAATTCATGGAGACAATTAGTCCTAGCAACTGGTACAGCACGCAATCTGCAGCCTATACAACTATGAGACCAGAAGAACTAGATGGTGCCTGGCTACCACTGTCATCCACTTGGAAGGGGATCTATGTAGGAGGAGATCCTTGATAGAGAGGGAGAACAATGTGGAACAAAACTCAAAATCATTTGTAGGGGGAAAAAGAAAGGGGGTTAGTGACCAGGTTTGCTGGTTCAATAGAGCCTGGTGGAACCACTGAGACTATGGCCCCTAGCTGCCCTTCAGGTCTGGAATTGAACCCACACCTGTGGTGTCCAGCCAAACAAAAGACAGGCATATGAGTTGAACATTTACCTCAAGAAGATATACTCCTTGGAGAGAACAATCATGGGAGAAAGAAGGGCTGCTTATGCACAGGGAGACAGCTCAGGGGGCAGGAGTGTATGGAGGGATGGACACTGGGAAGAGGTAACTATGGGGAGGAAGTGGGAGGGGAGCTGTTGCATTGTGGTAAACTGTGGTCAATGACATGAGACAAAGTATATATGAACTGCTGTATGGAAAGTGAATTTGCTCTGTAAATCTTCACCCAAATCACAATTAAAAAAAAAAAAAAAAAAAAGGGCTAGGCATCTCAAAGAAAATAACTCAACTGGAATTCAGAGATTATGTGCTTAAGAAATATGATAAAGGCCAAACTTACAAAAAAGGTTTCCCAAAAGGGAGGGAACTATGACAATACATGCGGTTTCCCAAAAGGGAGGGAACTATGACAATACATGCATAATCACAGAAGCCACACAGCTGTAAAGGAGTCTCTGGGAAAAAGTACCTTTCACTACAGATCACAGTTAAGAATGTCTTAAGGGAGATAATTTTCCTTTATTGCGCTTTCTAGATTTAAATAATTACTCCGTAATTATTTAAGCTTATCACTGAGAAAGCAAGTCCCGCCTCACTCTTTCTTGTATGGCCTCAGGAAGATATGAACTCTATTAAGTGGAACTGGATATTAATAACACAGTTTATGAAGCTACAACAGAAAAAAAACACAGAAGTGAGTAACCTCAAGCATTTGCTAAAGTTTACTGCAGAAGCCAGGCAATTACTGCCAAGTAGTCAAAGCTTAAATAATTTGATTAAAAATAATTTTCAGCATCTGGGGAAAAAAAAAAAATCCCACTGAACTAGCCACCCTAGAACCTGTGAGATTAAGAGCTGTAGAAAAGGGGAACCAAAACCAAACCAAATTCACTGCCATCGAGTCGATTCCTATTCATAGCAACTCCTATTGGGTTTTCAAGGCTGTAAATCTTTGCAGAAGCAGACTGCCTCATCTTTCTTCTATGGAGCGGCTGGTAGGTTCAAACTACCAACCTTTTAGTTAGCCAAATACCTTAACCAGCAGACCTCCTTAGAAAAGGGAAAAGGAGCCTAAAGGCTTCCCTTGATGTTTCCTGCACAGTTTAAATATAACTCAACCTCACTCAGCTTTATTTTCCACTTCATTAATGTTTCCATCTCACTTACAAATTCCTGTACTCATACCACCCAGAAAATAAAGAATTCCTATTCCTTATTAAAAAAAAAAAAAAAGCAGCAGCAGCAGCCCTGTTGGCATGAGTTAAGCTCTTGCCTGCTAACAGAAAGACTGCCAGTTCAAACCTGTCCAATGGTTTCAAAAGAGAAAGACCTGGCGATCTTCTCCTGTAAAGATGATAGCCTAGAAACCCTATGGGGCAGTTCTTCTCTGTTACGTGGGGTTGCTATGAGTAAGAATCGACTCGACGGCATCCAACAACAAAACAAATTCCTTATAAACACCTACAGCTTAGTAAAAAAATAAGCCTTCAAAATATTGTATCACAAAGAAAGAAATTGTTTAGAAAATTGTTCCCCAAGGAAATCACAGTATCACTTTATTTTTGTGATATATAATTATAATAGTTCCTCTTAAAATTCATACATATTGCCAGAGCTATTTATAAGTCTTTCAAATAGTAGCTTAGCAGTGACCAATACTGAAAAAAGTTGGATAGGTAACCTCAGTCAAGAGATGTAGCGGAGCCCCTTCCCAACAACAAACATACATAGTCAAAACACTGTAACTTCTACAAATTGCTCAATGAATAAATGCCCAAAGTCATGAACATTTCATAACATGTTGCCAAATTATAAGAATGAAGGTATTCACTTAAGCTATTGAATCTCCTCTGGAGAGTTTAAAGAAAGACAGCAAAGGCAATCTGGGACATTGTTAAGACAGAGCAGCTTTCCCTTCTTTAATGGTGACTCGCAGTACCAAAGTAATAAAGACATCAGAATAAACATATACACATTTATGCCCATAAATATATGCATACATATGTAACTGAGTTTCACAAAACAATACTGATTGTAACTATAGTTTCTGTTCTTTCAGATTTTCTTCCTTTTCATTTTTTTATATACAGCTCATGGCCATTAACACTGATTTCCTAATGACTGCACCTATTGTTAAGAAAACACTAGTCTGAGGGCAGAGTAGTCTTTTAGAATACAGGGTAAGGCAGATATAAACTGTGTACCTAGGAGCCCTGGGATTCCTTGGCTGGTGTCTCAGGAACAAACCATCCAGAGAAGGGGGGAAGGGAAAGACTGAGCAACACAGACCCAGGCCCTGAACCATTTCAAGCAAAGCTTCTCAGCAATAATCTTGCAATTTCAAATAAGATTTTATTCAGAGGCAGGAAAAAAAAAAATAAAGTTCTCAGTTAAAAAAAAGAAAAAGTTTTGAAATCACCGAACTACATGACTTTTCAGGACCCCCTTTAATTGTGTGAGTCTAGAAATAAATATTCCCTCCAAGCTATAAAATAAACCATGAATCTAAGTCTCACCATAGATTCAAAACCATATTATTTGATCACAGAAACTTTCAATACTGACTATGCAAAGCTTTATAACCTTAGAATTTCTCAAGATACTGCCTGAGTGATGCTAAAGGTATCACACCCTGCCCTTAAATTCTCACCCCCACCTACAGAAAACAATCTGCTCACTAGAATGTTCTTAATAATAAAACAATTTTATATTTGCTAAATACAACATGTTACTAAGCCAAGTGAATTCAACTTTCTCTTTCTGGGTTCCTTAGACACTGATTAATTTGAACAAGCCAGTGTCACTAAAACAAAAACTCAGAAGCTTTCGTTATTCATAAAAACATGTATCTTCCCACTGGAATTTCCTCCAGCCAAAATATACCGAGACGGATGCATGGCATTGATGGAACACACAGAGGCAAGGTATTCTCCACCAAAAAGAGAATGCAGGCACTTTCCTGTCTCGTGGAAAATTTCGATGCGCCGTGGGTAGGCCATGCTGCCAACTATGATACAGTCTTCTTGTTTAGGGTCCCACACAGCTCGGAATCTGGTCAGCCAGCGCCCAGTGATGGTGTTATGCCTAGTGAAAAAACATTTTGCAAAGAAAGTGTTAAATAACTCCAGGGGTAGAGATGAGAGTGTTCCTAAATGCTAGTTTTCACTGCCAAGCTTCTTCTCAAAAGTTACTGAGTTGCCATCAAGCTTCTCTGCTCTTCCCTACAAAACTGAAACTCAGAACAGAGTCAGATTCCCCATCTTGAAATCTCCAATGCTGAGCACAGTGGTTAGTGCTCACCAGACATTCAGTAAGCATTGGCTGAAATGGTGTTTCTTTTGCTTAATGTTTCCTAGCTCAATGGACAAAGGCAGGCAGATGACTTTCCCACAGAAAATTCCTTTCTTAGTACATCCAAACCTGAAGCCCTAGAAATAAGAAATCCATAATCTACATTATTTATTGATGTTTCAACAGGACCTACTATTTCCCACATTTCTATTCTCCTGATAACTCAGTCCTAAAACTATTTTATATTCCATATAACTTTAAAATCCAAAATACATTTATTTAGGGCACTTTGTTGTTGTTATGTGCCGCTGAGTTGGACCCGAGTCATAGTGACCCCTCCTCGGGTTTCCCAGGTGGTATCACTACGGAAGCAGATTGCCCCATCTTCCTTCCGAGGAGTGGCTGGTGGTTTGAACCCCCAGCCTTCTGGTTAGCAGTCAAGTGCCTTAGGCACTACGCTACCAGAGCTGTGTTGCCCTTTTATTCTCTATATCTTATTACCACTAACAAGTATGGGCTATGGAGAACCACCTTTCCCACTGCCACTCAATGACCCAGTCTTTAATAAAAATTCCTACTGCCACCAGAATTGTTACCTGAGATAAATTAAAAAACCAAAACACATTAGAAACCGATAGACTAGAATAAAGTTTGAAAAAGGAAACAGAGGGAAAAACTTCTAGAAAAAGGAAACTAACATATTTAAATATAGCCTCTACAGCCTATAAAACTTGTGATGCAACAATCAATATATATCACAGTCTGTCCCCAACTTCAAAAATACTGACAATAAAAGATAGCCAGAGAGAAGGCATTGAGTAAATGTCTCTGTTTGATGTAAAACACACCCACATTCAAAGCAGCATAGATAAGCAAGAGGGTTAAGAATGAGATATGAAGATAACATGAGTAATTCAGGTCTGAATAAAGTCATTAACCTTAACCAAAAATAACCCCTCAGGTGCAGGCACTCCAACAAGTAGCTTGTCATACCCTTCATTATTTGGCATATGGAAACCTACCTGATCGTTGTGAGGAGAGGAAGCTGAGAGGATATACAGCTGCTGTCAAAGATTCTGCAAAATAAATACTAAGAATTAAGCAACACACTCTTCATATTATATCTTGGAAGTCTTCTAAAGTAACCTCAGTGTGTTTAAAAAGGCGTTCATGATATAACATGATATATGACTATTACTCTAAAATATGTAGGATACAGCTCTAACAAATCTTAGCTAATACATTTAACAAAAAAAAAGTTACAAGGAATATTACAAAATTCAATTTAATGTGAAAATACTACAATTTACTTAAAAACCATTACTCCAAACTTAAAACCTAATCCAAACTCACTGATAACTCATAGCACCCTAGAGGACAGAGTGGAACTGTCTCATAGGATTTCCAAGGCTGTAAATCTTTATGAAAGTAGATTGCCATATCTTTCCTCTATAAAGCGGCTAGTAGGTTTGAACTGCCAAACTTTTGGTGAGCAGCCAACTGCTTAACCACTGTGCCACTGGGATCCCTTCCAAACTTAAATGGTACACTATAAATGATAATTTGTACTGTAAAACGATATTCATATTCATAGTAATGAATATGTATGGGACATACATAGGGGATATGGTCTGAAAATGCACAAATCCCTAAAATTGCATGTATCAAGAATAATTTCCCCAAGAGACTCATCAGTTGAGGGCCTGACACTGTCATTTCCAAGTCATGATAGGCTAAGTTAGGCCAGCAACCCAGGGAAGGAGTTCTTGTGGGGGGCAGCTGGTAGGAATCCAAAAGCATCTACTGGACACCCTGGCAGAAAGAAGCTAATCACATCACCACCACTTCCTTTCCCTGTGCCCTGCTGTTCTGGTGTAGTTTCTTGGCAATAGAGCTTATTATCTAATCAGGTAAGAAAGCCAAATCATTTAATGTAACAACAGTAAACTTTGAAGCACAAATGAATAGGATCAGGTCAAAGAGCTCTTGAGACAGAAAACAGCAAGAGTGAAAAGTGAACACCGGGCTGCCATTCCCTGGTGATTAACTCTCTTCATGCACCACCTGGTGATGCTCACAGACTGTGCTAAAAACTGCAAAGGCGTTCAACTGTGTGGATCATAATAAATTATGAGTAATACTGCAAAGAAAAGGAATTCCAGAACACTTAATTGTGCTCATGAGGAACCTGAACATAGACCAAGAGGCAGTCGTTAGAACTGAACAAGAGGCTACTGCATGGTTTAAAATCAGGAAAGGTGTTGGGGTCGTATTCTTTCACCACATTTATTCAATCTATATGCTGAGCAAATAATTCAAGAAGACGGACTATATGAAGAACACAGCATTAGGATTAAAGAAAGACTCATTAACTTAGGATACTCAGATGACATAACCTTGCTTACTAAGAGTAGAGAGGACTTGAAGCACTCACTGTGGATTATACTTCAACATAAAGAAAACAAAAATCCTTATAACTCGACCAATAAGCAACATTATGAGACCCGGTAATTGGGTCTCAGCAGAAACGAGGTATCATTCTTGTTCCTGCCCACAGTACACATTCAAAAGATAAGGTAATTTCCATTCAGCACTGCATTTATAGGGTAGACCTCACTATTCCCAAAGTATATGCTAAAATTACCTCCCTTCTGAGATACCACAGAACCTGGTTTTGGTGGGACTTCTGGGATTCTTTAGTGCTAAAAGAGAAGTCTCACAGCAACTCCCCAGGGCAGCTATTGACTTTCCTTGCCAGATTCTACAGTTCCAAGAAGTTTCCAAAATCTGGAAACAGGTGAAAAGCTATTAAGTCTAGGTCTTGGGTCTCTGGTAGCCTAAATAGTAACATTAGTGATCAAATAGGGATAGTACACCAAGCTTTAGCTTCATTGACACAGTGGCTAGACTCTCGAGATTCCTTAAAACATATTTCTACATTCCAAATTTACCTCAGATTACAATCAGCACATGTAGTCACTACTCTGTTACCAGTTATAGGTGAAAAATAGGCAGAAGCAATGCTCTTTGTCTGTTCAGTTAAAGAAATCAAAGGCTGGCTTCCCATGGGTGTCAGTTTTCTTGCATCATAAATACAAACATTCCTGAAATGGGAGGAATAATTATCAATATTGACATAGGACATACTGTTATACCCTCTACAATAGGGCTGAAAATAAATTAGACACTCAAATACTTACTATATTAAAGATTATTTAAGATAGAATTGTCTAATCTTCTGCATTAATTTTACAAATACTGACATAGATTACAAAATAAAATATTACAAAAATTCCAAAACTGTATCAGATAAACATAACCAGTAGGTATAGAGAGATAAGTTTCTAGTTGGTTTTCCAATCTCTCCAAGAAGAAAGTTAAAACAGACAAACACAACAGTTTATAGGCCACATATAACTCTTTAAAAAAAAAAAAAAAAAAAGGTTTTAATTTTCTTTTCAAAAGATTAAGAAGTAAATGTAAGTTTTGCCCAGGAAAGCAAGTGTGTATCTGTTTTAATAATTTCACTATTTATTAAATCCAAAAGAATCTTATTTTTATGAACTCACATTCCCAAAAGGAAAAAACAAAACCTCCCAGTGAATTGTGCAAAAATATTGGTTTCTTCTACACCGTCTTAAAGAAAAATTTATGAAGGTATTTTTTGCAGTAGAAAAAACGTTACAAAAGTTGAGATCTTAAACTGTTAAAAAAAAAAGTGTTGAGGTTCTAAAAGCAGAACTCATTCTGTGCAATGAACATAAGAATAGAGTTTTTGGGTTTTTCCTTTTAAATGAAGAACAGTTTTGTCTAAGGGCTGTATTCTCACTGAAGTAAATCTGAATAGTACTACTCCTATGCGTAAAACTAGTGCTCAATGGTTTCTATTCAGCTTCAAGTTGAAATTTGAAAAAATCTAAATAAAATAGATGAAAGCTCCCTAACTATTTAGGTGAATACAAACACACACACAAACAACAACAACAAAAAAAACCTCCATCAGTGTAGAAAGTAAATTCATTTGTCCTTCAGTTATCATGAAACTCAGGTATCTTTCACAACCAGACTAAAACATGTATTCCTGAGATTAAAAAGCCTAAATCATCAAAATTTTATGACAAACATACCTCAATCCTGCAGTAATAAAATACTGTCTATTCACTGGGTGGACATGAATAGTTCTTATTTTTTGCAAAGAAAACTTGACAAGTTTCTCATAAGAAGTTCCAGGTGTCCGTGTATCCACTAGTGACATACTTCCATCCCAGTGTCCTACTACTAAAGTGGAGCCATCTTCTCCCAGGAAGTCAAAGGAAGAAAAGCAATTGCTTTCATTTCTATATACCTAAGGATATAAGTAACAGCATATGTTTAATTTAATACTAATTAATTTATTAGTAATTTAAAAATCACCTTATACTCTAAAAAGAACGTCAATGCACAAACTCTTTGGTAAAGGAGTTACAAACACTTTACCCAAATAACCTCATTTATCCTCCCATCATCCTCATAGGAAGCTATGGACAAGATGATCCCTTTTAGAAACAAAAGCATTCATCAGCTGTGAGACTTGCCTACAATCAAATGGCCCATTCAAAATAAAAGAATGAAAATCTACATGTAAACCACTTTCACAAAGATTAAAATCCATATTGATAAAGAAATCAGTTTGAATGGATTCTTAATAAGTAAAGCTAATGTAGTTACACAAATCTGAAGGCTCACCTCAAATGATACGTTCATTGTAAGCCTTAAATAGTAGACCAAAACTTAAACAAAGAAATCCAATATAGTGAGAACTACACAGGCACTTGGAAGCTTCTCATCTGGCCCACCAGAGATTAAAATGACTAGGAAGTCTCTAAGTAGTAGTCTGGTGGTCTAAGTAGAATCTTTTTTTTTTTTTTTGGAGGAGGGGAGCAGGGGGTACTCTTTCAACTATTCTTAAATAGACTTGAACTTAATGGGCTTTGCTAGTGTTAGACAAGCTCAGGAAAAGACCTATCCTCAAGAGGTGGTTAAGATAATCGGAAAGGATCAAAACTGGAGATGCTGAATAGAGTGGGAGAAAAATGTAGAACAAAACTCAAAAAGCATAAACCAAAAAATAAAATAAAAAAAAAAAACAGGCTTACTCGTCTTATAGAGTGGTGAAACACCCAAGACTATGGCCCATAATCACCCGTTAGGCCTGGGATTGAACTCACTCCAGTGGCTTAACTTCCAGTCAAACATTAGACAGGCCTACAAGGTGAACAATTATACCTTGTAGATCCACTCCTTAGAACAATCAACCATTGATTGTTGCAAAAGGGCAGCATTTGCACAGGGAGATAGGTCAGAAGGCAGGAATGTATAGGAAAGAAAGACACAGGGCAAAGGTAACCACAGGGCGGAAGTGGGAAGAGAACTATTACATTGTGGGGATTGCAGTCAATGTCATGAAACAAAATATGTATGAATTGTTGAATGGAAAATAAATTTCCTCTGTAAATTTCCACCCAAATCATAATTTAAAAAAAAAAATTATACATGTTAATAAGAACAACAACAACAAAAAAGATGTGATTAAGAATAAACTTGGCCCAAAGTATTCTGAATAAACCATTCCCTGACTCCCCCTCACCAAGGTGGTCATTCCTAGCCAAGAGTATAATTTATACGGCAGTTTTTCATTCTAAATTCACCAGAAAAAAACAGCTGAGCTCATCTCTTATGGCATATATATATATATATATAAGATAGTAAGTTTTAGCTAGAAGTCTATAGAAAACCAAATTTTGCAGTTTCTATGTTATATTACAGGCCAAAAGTTTTAGGTATATGTAATATAGTACCATTCTCGGAAGGAAGATTGGGTAATCTACTTTCATAGTGATACTGCCTCAGAAACCCAAGGAGGGGTCGCTATGAGTCAGATCTGACTTGACAGCAATGAGTTTTTAGTTTTAATATAGTGCCATTACATGATCAATTTCTCTCATCTTTGTTTCATGTCTACAAAGGCCAGGAATGATGAACAAGTATGATAATTTATTTTTTTTTTTTTCTGAATGAAAAAGAATTATAAGTCTTCAGACTAAACAACAGAAGGGCTGAGTTACTGTATTTAAAAACTTTGCAAAAATATTAATAATAAGAGCAAACCATGTACCAGACTCTGTTCAAAGCACTTTACCTACATTAATTCATTTAATCCTCATAACAACCCTACGGAGTAGATACCATCCCATTTCATAACTAAGGATATTAAGGCATAAAGAGGTTAAGTAGCTAGCCAGGGTCACACAACTAGTAACTGACGATCTGGGATTTGAACTAGGCAGTGCAGTTCTAAAGCCATTATGCTATATATTACCTCTCCCAATCTAACTGGTATAATAATCATTCATGGTTTTTATAAAAGAACCATAAAGATTTCACAAAGAATCCAGAATATCATTTGAAGTCAGCACGTAAACACATGGAACATATACCTCTTCAAAAATAGCTCTGGAAAAATCTCCACAGCGTAGTGTGCCATCATAGCTCAGTGACAGTATGTGGGCTGGATTGACAGGTGAAAAGTAAAGACAGCTAACTGGCTGACTATGAGGATGAAAAACATAAATCCCATCTTCTTTAGGTCGTTGGGTCTGGAAGACAGTTTGGAAGGGAAAATAAAAATTAGTGAAAAGTAGTAATATTTACTATGTCATTATGCTATTAAACCATTTACTATGTCAGTCTCTTCTCAGTCTATAATGGGTATAATCATGGGTATAATTTTCCCATTCAGAAAGTCAGACCTAGAAACTTAATGCTGTCAATAAATTACTTTTTTCTAATTTTCAATCCCATAATACTTAGCCACATTTAACAGTTTCCAGCTTTTTTGCAACTAACTAGCAGCACTTGTTTTTTATAACCCAGAGAAAAAAATTAACGCTCAGTTGGACTTTAGTTCATGAAATCCTCAGGAAATGAAAAATCTGTCTTTACTGCATATACAGTATAATGCCTTACTACCAAAAATAGTATCAACACTATTATCACTTTGTTTTCTAAGTATGCTTCTTACATAATACTTATAATACTACCATATTGTTCTCAGCATAATTTTCATAAGGTAGCTGGTTCCAGAAAAAAATGATAATTTCAAAAATATTTGTCCTCTAAATATACCTTGCATATGCATGCATTTTTATATAATCAATTACTATAATTAATATTACTATTTTTAAGGATTATCCTTTCTACAACTGAATTACTAACTCCTAAGAAGTCATTTTTCAGATTTGACAGATTATCTTCCTGTCACATTATAAACTAGGGCAATTATTACCTCTAAATTTGGATTAGTCTGTTCTCCAACAGTCAAGAATTTTTGTGTTCTTTTTAAAAATTTTTAAAGTAAAATGTATTAAAAAAAACAAAAAAAAAGGAAGGGGAGAAAAGGAAGGAAAAAGTTACAACCACATACACTCCTCTTCTTAGTCAGGGTTAGCCACTGTTACATCTTGGAATATTTGCTTATTTGTTTTTAAGAAAAATAAATCTCTCTTTTGTTATGAAGAATTTAAACAATGCAGAACATATAAGGATCACATCTTATCAAAGTGAGAACCTATGCCGCCCAAGGTTTGGTCTGTATCTCGTCTTCTCACTTTATTAACCCCAACCAGCTCCAAGCCACCATTGTTTCTTCATCTCCATTAATTGTCCTCATGGCATTTTTTTGTGGCTTTGTTCTACTTTCCAATTAGAAAATAAATCCAGAAAGCATTAACTTGTTTTTCCTCAATTCTGTAACTCCTAAAAGCATTTCATGTACAATAAATGGAATTCACTATCTTTTTCTCACTTATCAAAAGATGACTAGGCTCATCCTAAGCAGATCCCTGGAAAAATATTTTCACACAGTTTGGAGACTATATTTTAAACATAATTAGGAAAGTGAGAACTTCATGTGACCTTGTCCCGTACATATTTAAAGTTCTAATAAAGTTTTCTGGCAATTAATTTCTGGCTAACAATATGCAAGCTAAAGATCTATAAAGTAAATTTAAATGTTAAATGTTAAAGGTCTATAAAGTAAATTCAAATTTCTTCAGATTTCTAAAATTTAGAATCACAAAGCACAAAACTATAAATCTCAAGCAATATTTATAAATACATGGCTCTAGGCAATTTTCTATTTGCTTCAGTCAAACTTTGTTGTTATTGTTGTTATGTGCCGTCGAGTCATCTCCAACTCATAGGGACCCCTCCTTGGGTTTCCGAGGCAGTATCTCTACAGAAGTAGATTGCCCAATCTTCCTTCTGAGGAGTGGCTGGTGGGTTTGAATGGCCAACCTTCTGGTTAGCGGTCAAGTGCCTTAGGCACTACGCCACCAGAACTCCCTCAGTTAAACTTTATTGTCTTTAAAAAAATTAACAACTTACCAAATCCCAAAGTCCAATTTGCCCAGATTTGGCCCCAGCTGCAACCAAAGTTCTAGTTTCTGATGGGTGTAGAGCCACAGAGAATACTGCGCCTTTGGCAACTTTACAAACAGTATCTTCACTAATGACCATGCCACTTAAATTGGCATTGTAGCTGAGAAAATTAGAAAGTTAAATTTTAAAAGTTAAACAATACCAATAGTCAAAAATAAGTAAGAGACAATTCAAAAAAGAAGAATCGCAATTAATAAATAAATGTAGAAAAATATTCAACCTACTAGTAACCAAGGAAATCAAACAACGGTACTATTTTTTCACTTATAAAATGCCCTTGATAATCTTAATGATAACACCAAAAGGCTTCAGTTAAATGCATATACTCATGTATATTGCTAGAGGCAGAATAATTTCATGTAAGGTTTTCAGGAAAAAAAAAAACTGGGGGGGAAATAATTTGACATGTATACCAAAAGCCGTAATATTGGACTTAATCCCATTTCTAGGTCTCTATCACAAGGAAATAATCCATCATCTGTCTGTCGATCTTTGTCTCCCACACACACACATACACACAGCTAAACAGAAAACAGTCCCAAATACCAAATGGGTAGAAAGAGGTTAGGTAAATTGTAGAATACTTACTCAATGGAATATTATTCAGCCATTCAGTAATTTTAAAGATAATAATAACATGCAACCACAATGTTAAGTGAAAAAAGCCTAATTCAAAATTATATATACATTAGAACCTAAGAAAGTACAAAATGTATGTGAATTCATCCACTAAGTTAACATTTAGTGAAGACATGTGCTAGACACTGTTCTGGTTATTGGGACAAAACCTCTGCTCTCTTGAACTTTATATCCAAGTGGTGTTATATACAGCAACACTTAAAAGGAAACACACTAAAACAAAACCAACCATTTGGATGGAATACAGGTAATTTCTTCACCTCACTTTCAAAATTTTCTGTAATGACATTGTCTTTATAACTCAAAGATCTCAGAAAACTTAAAACAAAGACAAGAAATTTAGCTTACCTTTTAAGGCTAGGTGACTCCTTTTGAGTATTCTTACTACTTGTCTGAAACATTGGGAAAAAAATCAAAGGACCAAGTTAACATATGTATTGAAATTTTCCTGTGCAGGTGATTTAAAAATCTTTAAGCCTTCCCTAGTGATACCTTGCTCATTTCTGCCCATGTTTGTAGAAATTCTTTAAATAGTTCATTGCTACCATCTCGATTTTCAGGAGTCATTTCTAATGGCCCAGGCGGTAACAAAGGCTGTTATAAGAAATAAAAAAATAAAAAAGTTTATAGCTTATCTCCCTGTCTTAGAATGTTAAGTTCAAGAAGGGCAAGGTTTTTTTTTATCTCTTCACTACTTTATTTTCAACGTCAACAAGAGGGCTGACACATCATGGGCATTCAAAAATAGGTGTTCAATGAATAAATCCCATGTATCCTGGAAAACGTGTACATATATTATCTCATTTATTTATCCTCTCAGCAAACCCATGATGAAGGTACCACATTTTAAAGCCACTGGAATGAGGTGTACAGAAGTTAACTTGCCCTCAGTCACACTACTAATAACTGCAGGAGCTGGAAATGGACTTAGATCAGTCTAATGGCATTATTCAATGTTATTCTTCTATACCAGGATTTGTTGTGATTCATTAATGGGTCATGAAATCATTTAATACAAAACAGCTAGCAATTTGTTTTAGTACATGAAAATGGAATAGAAAAGTACATCACATGGAGTACAATTTAAATTTTATTCACAAAACTTTTGTTTCAATTGTGTGAGTGTGTGTCTAACGGGTTGCAATGAAATACAGTGAAACTTGTGAAAGCCAGACCTTGATCAGACTGCCTTGTTTTTCTGAGTCTCACAACTTTTCTGCCTTTGACAGGGTGCAGTCCTTACCACTTTTCTACAACTCATTTTAGTGGAAAATATTTAAGTTTTCCTTTGCTGACAGGTTTCCACCTTACACAAGTTCTACTCTGCCATCTCTGCCATCCCTGGGCAAAAGCTACTCTTCTGATCTTATATGGTTGGTTTTTCTAAGGAGTGAGTACCTCCCTGATGTTACTGCTCACCTTATAGGCCTGTCTGTTGTTTGGCTGCAGGCTGAGCCACAGGGAACAATAAAACATTTTAAAAAAAGAAAATAAAAGCAAAAATACTAGCAAGAATGTTCTTGAATAAAAAACATAATCATAATTTTATTTACAAAATAAATTTACTACATAAAATTCTTTCTACTCACTAATGTTATAAAATGAAACTACAGTAAGGCCCCCATCACTCTTATTATATGTTATTTATTATTAATACCATTAATAACTGCCATTTATTATTTACTAAGTCCTTAGCACAATGTAAGGGACTTTAAATTATTTTATCTAATGCTCACGACAGCCCTATAAGGTTGCTATTATTATTGCCATTTTAAAGATGGTGAAACAAAGGCTCAGAAAAGTAAAATCATTTACCTACAATCCCATAGCACGCCAAGTCTTACAGAAATACAAAATCCAACTCAGGTCTTTATGACTTTGAAATCCATGTTTTTACTTAAAACATACAATATTCAAATATTAAATTAATGAAATTAAAACTAAAAATTTAATTACATTGAAACTAAAAATTTAGTGAACTTTTAGTCTACCTTAAAATATGCCAAGCTTTTCAGTATTTTATTAAATTGACATATTGTATTTGCCCTTTATCTTACATTTTCTTCTGCTACTAATGCTGGCTGGGGTGGAGTTGGTGGTAATGAAACTCCTGAAGGGTCTACTTTTAGTAATCGCATTGACCTTCTACAGCCAGTCTCACTTTCTCTCTTCTTAGGCTTCTTTCTAAAGAAGTGGAAAGGAGAAGAAAACACTCATAATTCATAAAACAGGTAAATGTGTTTGTTGTTGTTGTTATGTGCCATGGATTCGGACCCGACTCATAGTGACCCCTCCTTGGGTTTTCAAGGCAGTATCACTACGGAAGTAGATTGCCCCATCTTCCTTCCAAGCAGTGGATGGTGGGTTTGAACCGCCAGCCTTCTGGTTAGCAGTAAAGTGCCTTAGGCACTATGCTACCAGAGCTTCCAAATGTGTTTACTAACAGTGAAATAACTTCTAGGTATATATATATACATTTGTACATGTGTACACAGCCATATTGATTTTAATAAAAGTCAGGAAACAACATAAATGCTCATCATGGGGAAGTAAGGTTGTGAAATTAAAGCATGCATTAAAAAAAAAAAAAAAAAGGAACTCTGGTGGCATAGTGCCTAAGGCATCTGACTGCTAACCAGAAGACTGGTGGTTCAAACCCATCAGCCACTCCCGCAGAAGGAAGACTGAGCAATCTAGTTCTATAGAGATACCACCTCCAAAAGCATGCGTATATAATAGAATAATATGCAATCTTAAAAAATAATGAGGTAGATTTTTATGTATTGATATGAAATTAACTCTAAGATATAAGAAGCAGATCTGAGTATCATCAGATTTGGCTGATGATATTCCTACATGTCTGTCTGTGCTACAAAAATGTCCTTTATACATTATGGAACTAATAGGGAACAAGGTTAGAGTAGATTCTCAACAACAACCAAGTACCCTGAAGGAATCAGTCAACAAATTATTCAATGGAAAACTACTTTGCTCTGTAAATTTTCACCCACACCAACAAAACTCAAAATCATTTGGAGGCAAAA